TACTTTGGTAAATTACAAAATTATCACACATAACACATCCGTTGTTTGTCTCGTAATGAAGCAAAAAATAATTAAATTATTTTCATATAAGGTTTTTTCATATTCAGCTTTATATTTATATTTTATTAAAACATCAATTTATCGATAACTTTTGAAATATGTCAATCAAGCATTCATCATTGTTGTATAATTTAAAAGAGATAAAGAAATTAAAGAGGTCAAATTTTTTAATTTGATGTTTTACATACAATTAACCGCAATTAACACTAATTTTGATTGTGATTGTTGAAATCCAAAAATTGGAGATAAAAAGTTTATGCTGCAATGTTAAATTTTGATGAGAATCCTGGATAAGAACGTGAATACTGTAAAACCGCTTCAGTTCGTACCAATAAGGAACGAATTTTCACGGTGGCCATAATTGCATTAATTAATATATTTTATTATTATATTTTTATATCACAGTCATACATTTTTATTTTTAATTGGAAATTGGAATTTCTGTAAATTAATCTACCTTCTTTTAAGTTTTATTATCAAGTACATAATTTCAATTGCTGGACAAGTACAAATAGTATTGGGATGTGTGTTTGTAATTGAATTTACCAAGAGAGCAAAATACTGCTTCAAAATTTGCATTTTCAACTTCATAAAATATACGAGCCTTTGTGTTTTAATCCGCTGAAGTTTCAATTCTCCTCTTTTCTTAGGTGAGAATTTTAGTTTTAACAGAGTGCATTTTTTTTTTGCACGAGAGAAGCAATTTATTTAAACATGACCACAACTTAGCTGCCGATCTATTTCAAACCATTCGTCCGTCTCCTGTTGATAATGAGGCTGTTTTCTAATCTTGGCTGACAACAAATCCCCCGCCAAAGCATGTCCCTGCGCGGCTCCCCGCGGAAAAAAGCGTAAAAGCCGCAGGTAAAATGATGCTCCAGAGCGGAAGGATGTTTCTGATGTTTTAAAAGCCCTTTCACGGTAATGGGGCGTGCGAGTCGTTGCGCCCCGCTCTCTTTTTATGGCATAAACACTCGCAGCGCATCAAGACACGTGTCACGTCTCTGCGGGTCAACTCGTGAAATAAAAGAATGACGCCGCATGAATATTTTAGCTTTAGAGCAGAGATGAAATAATTTATTTAAAGTTCCATTATATTTTACTATTTTCGTCCTAAATATTCTGAATTAAATTTTAATATCTAATTGTAAGAAATCAGGCCGATGAATTAAATTAAATAAATAAGGGGAGTTTGCAACACCTGCATCGTAGCTTTTTTGTTGTTTTTCTTTTCGATTCAGATTATTTTGAAAGTGCCGAATTTTTCCAAAATCTTCTTGTACTGCATGGAAATTTTTTTTTTTTAAACTATCTCGAACGATTAGCAATTTTTATTAATACAGGAGAATATTTCACATATATTTCATATAAATCTTTTGTACGTTACTAAACTGCGACAGAACTGAACAATTTTGAGATAAGTTTTTTTTAAGTTCAATATGCATTCAAATTTTTCATTTCAAATTTCAGATCCCTTTCAACCGTAGACTTTTGTTGAAAAAAATGTATTCCGTTTTCATTTAATAACCACAATTTTAAGAAGTATGTACTAATTACTTCAAACCCTCTGTACTTAAACATTAGCAAAATGAATTAGCTTCAATGTTGTGCCAGAGGGGAAACAAGGAAAAATGTTATTAGTGGAAACGTTTTTCTCCATTTTTTTTTGTTTACAATGTTTGTGCACACTTTTTTCAGCTTTTTTTTAACTCATTAATTAAAGGGCGTAAATTCATGCCGCCGTTTTTCTTCATTACCGTGCCAGGTGCGGGTAATGAATCTTGGGCTGAGCAAATTAAGCCTCGCCAAGCAGAGCGGAAAGTGCAGTGCACCGTCCGCTCATAGTGCTCTCAGCGAATTAAATTAAGTTCAGCAGGCATAAAGCAGAGGAAAAGTAAAAACTGGTGCCATGCCTCAGTCTCAGTCTCACTGTTTCCAATTTGATTGCATAAGAACGCAATCGCATCAAAAAATTAATCCTTTGCTGCACTGCTTGCAATGCAAATCCTAAAACCATGCTGGATTGCTAGAGAAACTCGTTTCACTTGTTTTTGAACATTATAAAATGCAAAATCCACCTCGCATGCTACCTATCTTGGAGCGATTATATCGGAAGGTTAATAGGTTGGAAATGTTGGGGATAAAAAGTAAAACAAACGCGAGGCACACTTTTTGTACATCAATATTGTGTCTTAATTTTTAACTTTTGAAAATAAATTGTTTTTAATAACTATTAAATTGAAGATATATTTTAATTAATAAAAAACATAAATTTAAAAAAAATGAACATAAATTTGAATAAACAGCAATATTAATATTTTGAATTTGTAAAAGTTGTTTAAAATGTGCAATAAATGAAGATTAAATAATTTATATAATTATTTTAAATCATTTCAACTATAAACGTAAAAATTTTGTATATTATATATTTAATTAACGAATTTCTTATAGACCTTCCTTTCAATAAAAAATCTACAAATCTTAAGCACTATCTCAGTTTCTGTCAATAAGAATTGCCGGAACATTTGTTTGCAGACCTGCCGGAGTGTCGATTATTTGCAAGCTCGCTGGTGCACTCAGCAAGTCCGACTCTTTGCCAGCACTTCACCTGTGCTCGCTTTTTTCCATTACCTCTGCCAGCCACGAGCGAGCGAAGGCGGCAATGAATGCGAGCTGTTGAGATGCGAAATGCTCCAGCCTGACCCCGTTTCACCATTTATGCAAATATTGCGCCTGGACCTGAGTGAGTGACTCAAGTGCACACAATATAGTGTTGCCGCACCAGGGAGCGCGTGACAGCTCATAAAATACTAAAGCACCTCAAAAGAAAAAAATATATAAATAAATTTTTTTAGGTTTCGTATTTGAGCATTAAATTGATATCAAATTGGCTGATCATATGAATGTTAAAGTAGGGAAATAAATTTATTCATAAAAGAAAAATAATAGAATACCATATGAAATCTTCTATATTTCTCATCGTTTTTCATTTGAAAAAATCATTTATTCAGTTTTCAGTTTCAAAGTTTATTACGGCACCACGAGAAATCTTTGCCCATCTTGAGATCCATTGCTTAAGAAATAATCAGGATATTGAAAACTACAAAACTACACAACGTAAAAAGAAAAAAAAAACTCGTCGACTTTTCTGAAATTTTTGGGAAATAAAGAAATTTAAATTTACACAGTTGCTATTTAATTCATTGAAATAATACTAGTATTTATTTTAAAATAAGAATGTATGGAAAAATTTTACTCCATTAATTGTTAAAAGGTTAGATTAACTAGAAATTTGGTAGGTTTTCATTGTATTAAAATATAGAATTAAATATTAAAAAGTATTATTGTAATTTTAAGGTCATGTTGGCGAAGATGGGACTGTGTACCATAAGGAGGTAGTGTCGCTCGTTCAGATTCAGAGCGTGTGTGCGATTGTGTGTGTGTGTGCGGAGCACTTTGCATGCAGGCGATCAAGTTTGTTTGCCGTGGCGGTCGCACGAGACCTCGGAGAGAGATGCATCCAAACGGTGCTCGCTGGACGAATCAATCCCGGCAGAAGAGGCACCGTGGGTTTGCGTTTGTTTATATATTGCATCCATATAAATCTTGAGGTTCCATATATATTCTCAGCTATCCAACAAATTGAACGAGAAGAAAAAAGGTCAGAGGCCCAGTGAAAAACGTTAGGTTGGGTGTTTTTGTATCATAATTTATATAATTATGATGTTAGGCCAATTTTATAAAATAGTATAAATGGAAAATCTCTCAGAATCGATTTACACTTTATTTCACTTTATAATTATCTTTCCTAGACCCTTGTGTTAAAAAATAATTTACTATTTTTTATGCGTTTTAAATGTAGGCAAGTAAAAAGGCTTTCTTTTTCACAATTTTTCACTGCTAATTTCAAAAGCTAAGCATTCTTCTTCTGTTTGCAAATGTCTCTAGTTTTCCGACTTAAGATTTTGTCGCAAAACCTGTTTTATTTCCCTCTCAGCATTTTATTATCATCGCACAATAACAAAGAAGCTTTTCCCCGATGCACTCACCTTATTCCTGCGCTGGGCATAAAATACGTTTATAGTCGATGCCGTATTTTGATAAGGAAGCCTTTAACTACATTTATTTGCATAACGCTCTGCGGCGCAGATTTCATTCTCTTTATGTTCGGCCACGGGAAAAGGATGCACCTTCAAGTCGATAAGAGCCAACGCAATTTTGATATATTCATACATAATAGTAAAAATGCGGATAATGTGTTTTCCGTGTTTAATTTTTACTACCTGTGTCGTTCTACACGTAATAATTCACGAGTGCTGTCGGATTTGGGGCCACTGTACGCTCCTTGAGTGGCTGTAAAAATATAACACATTATATCTCGTTTACGAGGAGTGAAAATTACTACTGTTGCTTGGTGGCAAAACTCATTTCGGCCCTTTGAAACTAATAGCTTCTGTTTTTACGGACGGCGCGCCTCCAGCCATCAAAGGGTGCGACTACGACCAACTTTCGAAAGTACCTGCTCCCATGGGTTTGCAAGGATGAGAAAGTTGTTGAAATCCATTTTCTTTACACTATTAAACACACACAAGAAAACCCAAAATTTGATTATGCAAGATCATTTTAAAAACAATGAAAATATGTATGGAACATTTAATTTCAGCGTTTGTTGGGTTATATTTTAAATAATGATAGTGGGTATACTCACGTAATTTATTTAATATAATTAAATATTAAAAAAAAAAATGTTTTCGTCCAATTTAATAGTGGATTCATATTTTATTTTCTTTAGAGGTTCTTTTAGTTTTGCTAAACTCATTATCAATCAAGGTATTCATTTTTGATGAAATAAAATACGACATTCTCAGTGAAGATGAGCATAATTAAATTATTATTTAAATATATATTTTCTGTAATATGAAGTAACAACAAATTCGCTCATCTCCACCGAGGAAGACATATTTTATGTCATAAAATTTTGTATATTTAATTATCTTTTAATAAAAAATTCTGTCAGGTTCTACATAAAAAAGTTAATGCGCTGGGATGACTACTTTTCATAAAGCCGAAATTGTTATTTTGTTGCTTTGGAAGTAATTTTTTGTCCTTTGAAAATGCTGATGGGGAACAATGAACTTATATTTTTTTCCGTGGTGTTTCAAAAGAACAACTTGCTAATGGCTTTTTTCAATACGCTTAAGAAAAAGTAATTTTATGTTATAAAACAAAGCAAACAATATTCAATTTTATGTCTCTTTTATATCGATTCTTTAAAAAAAAAGCTCGTGTTAAGAAATCATTCCTCCTACGAGTCTTGCGCCTGCAAATTATGAATTATTTTCTATTAGAATTTGAGAAATAATAATTTGAAGCTGATTTACATTGCAGATGAAGTTGATATTGTTATTATTGCATTTGAGATTGAAGAGTCCGTTTTCCTTTTCATCGGTCATGCCGTTTTGGATGGCCACGCAATCACCGCTGTCATTTTTAGGAAAACCGACCTTCCACTTGACACCGGTCCCGATCACTTCCTTCTCCGGACACCAAACAAAAGCTTTACATTCTTGTGAGTAAATTCCACTAGTCCAAAACACGAAAGCAGATGTGGCTTTTGACTCTGTATTAAATGAAAAAAGTTAATATTATATACACATTTATAGAAAAATTTTAAACTTCTTTCCGCTGCGTGAACCTCTTTGATGCAGGTCATTATCGCAGCAGAGTTTGGTGAAACTAGGGTCATATTGAAAACGCAGCAGCTGTCTTTTGCTTCCTTAACCAGTTTCTGTTAAATTTTGTTTAAATTTATGAGCTTGATTGAAAGTTTTTCAAATGCCACACTTTGTAAAATGAAATAACCATGCGTTGGTCACAAGTCTCTGATGCAGCATAAATCTTCGGAATGGCCACTGTGATAATTTTTTAATTTTAATAATTAAATTTAATCAACAATTAGACTTATTTATCATCTTTAAAAAGAACTCACAAACAGCTCGAGTTTTGGCTAAGTTGGCTTTGTCCTGAGTAAGGTGCGGTTTTTACAAATACATTTAAAGTTCAGTTGCAAAACTTACAACATCCGTGCACTTTGGCTGAGGACAAACAGCTTTGTTGCAATAAGTTTTGCCAGAGTCTTTTGCTAATTAATTATAATTAGACGCAATTAATGCAGAATAACTTTGACTACCTGGGTCTGTGGTTTTTTGGTTGTTTGTTGTTGTCATTGTAGTTGCTGCTGAGGTTGTTGTCGAGTTGCTCAGGTCTGCAGATGATATTGTTTGCGAGTCGGGGAACTCCAGATTCTCTGCGATGCTCTGCAATTTTCTAATCAGCGCCAGCAATGCCTCTCTCTTGTTTGCACCATTGCTCAAAACATTGTTCTGGTAAAATCACACTTTTGTCAAACAAAACATGTTAAAATTTTTTTAATTTCAAACTCACAGTAATGCAAAGGAACAAAAGTACGCTGCTCCATTTGAGCATCTCAATTCAAAATAAATGTATAATCATCGGTACTGCGACTCCACACATAAAACAAAATTCGCACGAACTGGGAGACAAAAACTGAAAAATCGGTGAAACGCATGGGGGCTATGACGTTGTACATCCGCTGCATTGTTAAAAGTGACCGGAAAAAGTGGATGACAGTTGGAGCGACCGAATAATTAATGTGAAACCAGCTAGGGAATCGACTGTCTGTATTTTATGACTTTTATTATTGTCGCTATAAAAATTCAGTTTCGATCATAAAATTTATTAAAATATTTTAATCAGATCCATGCAGAGGAAATAAAATAATTTTTTATTTTAAAGATACATTAAATGCAGAAGTTTGGAAGAATATAAAAAAGTAAAAAAAGTGGTTACTTAATGGTGAAATTTGAAGCGTTTGTTTGTTAAGAGGATTTTTAGTATTTATTTTAGCTCTCCAATAGGATTTGTCAGTAGCTGGAAATTTTATGAGCAATTTTGGTGCAATGTTGAAATTTATAAACTTATTTAATGGTATGAATGTTTTCTAAACTTTAATATTTAGAAGAAGAAAAATTAATTCGGAAAATTGAGCTGCCATTTTCCGCCCTTGGACTGCAAGAAATCTTTGAGCAGCTATGCTTTAAAAAAAAGCCATTCAAGATGCTATCAAACAGGCATTAAATTTTGGAAAGATATTTTTTTCTTTGAGAGCAATAATGTTTGTTTGGTATAAATCAGTATAAATTAATAAATAAAAGTAATATTATTATTATTATTTATAATAATAATAATAATTTATTTTAATCATGTGCGTAAACAAACGATTAGGATTTAGTTGAAATATTTCTATGCCCAGGCAAAATATTGTGCAGTGATTTCTGCGTTCTCCTCTCGTGGAAGGCCAACAATATCGCGCATCATAACAATTGAGCCCAATGGATTGTCATATGGAATCTATTATGAAAAAAGGGTTAAAATTTAAGGCAGAGGTTTTTCTGTTTTTTTATTACCGAGTGTCCTGCACGGTTGATCCACCAGAAACTGAAGCGACCAAAACGTTTCACAAAGCCTTCAGTGAATCCATTTACAGAGAATGCGTTGCGGGGCGCTTGAATCCAGTCAGACACATTCGACCACTTCATATTCTCGGCCCAAATCAATTGACCTGAAAAAATTTAATGAAATTAACAATTAAAAAAGTTATTTACCAGGAGTGTTGCAAATCAAGTCAAGTTGCCCATTGTTTACAGCCACTGTAATATTTGTCTCTTCCAGCAACGTTTCAACTGAAAAATATATAGAAATAAAATATTATTCAATATTCATTACAATTAAATTAAAATTACCAACATCAACAGCTGGCTTCATAAAGTCCGCCCAGTTAGCTTGAAGAACGTCAGTGCTCTGATTATTCCAGTGATGCAAATAATGCAAAGTGGCATTCAGTTTGTCAAAAACTGGCCCGTTCATAAGATCAATTAGTGCCGATCCATCATTAATATCATCATCGGGGCGGAAATTTAAATCAAAGCCCCGTGCTATGAGGAAATCATATATAATTTAATATGATATAATTCCACAATTTTCTTACTTTGAACCTGATTATCATTTCTCCGATCTGATTTACCCCGTCTTGGAGAAGTCTTGTACATGATATTGTAAAAATCAACTTGATGCGTAAAAACCTTGATCAAGAATTCCATGTTGGACAAGCAACCAGTTGCTCTTTCCCATTTCCCTTCTTCAACGAGCGTGCGGCACTTTGCCGCGTATTCGTCAATCATTTTAAAACGGCGCGTGTCAATTAGGCCCTGAAAAATGAAATTTTTAAAATAAAAAAAGGGAGATATTAAATTTTTACAGCTTGCAGTAGGTAGGGAGCATAACTTGTAGTCGAGTCAATTGGAGATATCCAGGCTGACCCAAGAGCAACTCCTTTAAAATTGCTCTCTATTTCCCCTGCCCTCATGGCCTACGAGAGGAAAAAAAATTTGTCAACCAAGTATAATTTTTTGCTCATTAAAATATTCAATTTGAAAACACACATTAGCCATTGCAAGTCCAAAGTGAGCTGCCATTTTTCCGCCATAGGATTGCGAGAAACAGTAAACAGGCGTTTCTTTAAAATCAGGATACTTTTCATAAAATAGTTTCATGAATGAAACCAAGTCGAGAGCAATTCCAGTGGCATTGGTTGCCAAATCTTTTAGATCGTCTACGTATGAATAGCCGGAACCAACTGGATTATCCAAATATAGAACATTGACGTGGTGAACCTTTAACAAAATATAAAATTCCAAAAAAAATATCATTTTTTTATATCTCATTTTACCCATGAGGTATTTCTTGGATTCAATTCTAGATCAAGAGGACCCATGCCCTTGAAATTCCCATAACCTGAGCCACCTAAACCAGGTCCACCCTGAAGCCAAATTACAATAGGAATGGACGTTGGGTCACTGGCAGAAGTCGAGGTGAAAAGCCAATAAAACATGTGAGCTCCGGGCCTCACATCGAAATATCCCCAGTCTTCACCACCAGGGTCGGGAATGTTACTTTTGTTGGTCGGCGCCGGTTCAAAAAGTACTGACATTGCAACTGTAAAATTATAAAATCCTAAGTTATTGATGCGGAATAGTTAAAAAAAAAATCAATTCAATAAACCGCTCTGCTATTTTGTTAAAATTAATTTTGTAAAATGAAACAATACCTGAGCCATTGAATAAAAGGAAGAGAAGCAAGACCGTCCTTGCAAATAGATACATTTTGCTTGGATGGTGTTTGCAAACAACAGGAGGTCTCAATAACTTAATCTCACTTCAAAGGATTCACAGGATGTCCTTTACAGCCTGGTAATAAATTATAAGAAAGCCCTACGTTGAAACAATTTTTTTTTAATTCAAAAATCAAACGGCTCTACCAGTTTCGGTAACGGTCTGCGACCCTATGTCATGAGCAAGAAAAAAAATATAAAAAAAACAGCAAATGGAAAAATAACCTTCAATTTGCTGATTTATTATTTTTATTTTTCTTGTTCTTGACCAAAACTGGTAGAGCCGTTTGCTTTTTTTATTCAAAAATGGAAATAAAAAATAAATCAACAAAGACAAGGCTAGTTTTCTTCAATTTCCATGATTGTCTCCTTGAGTGCCAATTTCTTCATTAAAATAAAATACATATAAACTGTTAAATGTTCGGACATATTAAAATACACAACCTTTGAGAAAAGGGGTTTATCTGCTGTCACCAGGAGTAGGTCAGGAGCGACTGAAGCGGTTTAAATATTTCTTGTGCCTTTTTATATCAATTTTCTACCAATATTTCCTGTTTTTAAATACCATAGTCAGACTTGGTTGACGTGTCTATTATTCATGGATAAAACACAAGGAACGCGTAACCGCAATCGGGGCCACCCTTGCTTCGTCATCTATAGCGGACGTGCTATCTGACGTGCCTGATAATAATAATTTTCTTATTTAAAATAATTATTTTTTTTCTTTTAAACGCTGACTAGTTAAAGTGGTGGTAAATTAAGTTTAATAGCAAATAAAATTTATAATATAAATAATGTTCCACGATAATTTCCACGGTAGGGTTTACAACAACATGAGAGTGGGTCTTTTGAATAAAAATCATGGAAATTTGTTTACAAGTTTTCATCAAAAATGCTCATAAGGAATTGAGGAGGAAAAGATAAAATAAACAATATCATTATCGATTTTTACGATTTATAAGCAATCTTGTTAATCTGACGTTTTTTTTATTGATCAATTCGACGGGGAAAGAGCCGCGGCGTTTCTATTGTGCACAAGGAATAAAGAAAGTGTATCAGAATGGCTCGCAGGCAATCAGGGCCTCGCCTTTGCTGACGTGACGCGTTTAGATCGCTCAATCACCCGTGCGCATATCTGCAAATGCCATCAGCCAAAAGAGAGGCGTAGGCCGAAAATACACCCTCGACAGTTCAATCGACGCGAGAGAGAGATTGCCCTCTCGGCCACGCCCTGCCATTTCGCACTCACTTCCGGTCGCCGAAGGAGACTTTCTCGCAGAATTAATTAACTCGCGAATTTCGGAAAGAAACTTCCAACTCGGTGACAAGACTTGGCGGGGCAAAAATCCGGGCGAAAAATTAATTAAACTTTACGTCCCTCTTGCTTGCCTCTGAATTTATTACGCGCCAGTATGCAAATTAGACCGACGAGTCGATCAAGAGAGGGCGGCTTTTTATCGGAGGAGCAGCAGCAGTCTTGTTTTAATCTGCCACCAAGGCTTATTAAAATAGTTTCTCATGCGTAATTCATCATGTGAGCAGAGTCGGCGCGATTTCTGCTCGTCATTCAGCGCCCTGGCAACAGACAAATCTTGCTAAAGTCAAACGAATTAATCAGCAAAACCAACACGTGCGATGATTAATTAAATCGCGTTTATGTAAGTCATCAAACTTTGGCTTGAAACAGAAATTTGAGGAAAGCTTTGACTTTGACACACTTGGATGAACACTTGGCGGTGATGGTTTTCTTACATAAAATTGGCAAATAGTGTCGATATTTTGTGTACATAATGATAATTCAACAAGAACCTAATTAATATATAAAAAGTACTTATTAAATAAAAAAAGAAACGCCAAAAATGAATAAAAAATAAATAAGAAATAAAATAGAATCTTATTCTTTTTTCTTCCTAGTAACATTTTGGTTGCTTATTTGTAAAACTACTTTGAAACGTTGCACACTGTTTAACAAGTCACGAGTCTAGGTGGAAATTAATTAAAAAGGTCGCATAAACGTCTCACACCTTCTAACAAAGTTGTTAATTTTCAATTACATTGTCATTTCCTTAAGTTTTAAAAGAAATATTCATTGTAATAGGGTTTGTAAGATGGAATAATGAGAATTATCTATGAGAGTTAATTTTGATGCTATTTAAGGGCGTCAAAAGGTCTCTCAGCACAAGAAGCTAAAATTGTGTGGATGGGATGATTTAAAATTCCAAGCGCAGTCTGGAGGAAAGATGAAATGGCACTCGTGCAAATAATAAACGGCGAACGGGCGCAATAATTGTTTTGCACTGGCACGGGAGGAATTCAAAAATACATCAGGTGAGCCAAGTAGGCCATAAATCACTCGTTGGGGGTTCGCTCTGTATTCCGTCGGCGCACAACAACACGTGCAAAATAGCACAAACGGCCGGAGAAAGAGTCTTTTCTCCGGGGTGTTTTACGAAACGAAACTTTTCAATGCAAAAACTTGGAGAAGAAGAAAGGAGAAAAATTCATCTCTTCTCTCCAGAGCTGCTGTTTTTCGTCAGGGAAAATGCGCGTGTAACCAAGTTTGCTTCTCTTTCTGCTCGCGCGCGCCCTAATTCTCGGCCTATTGTGTTTTATTTTTCGCATGTGTCACGTACGGAAAGAAGCAGAGAGGCCTGAAAAAGGAAAAGAAAAATAATGCGCTTTTGTCCGCTGAGAGTAGCGAGGTGTCCGTCCATTTTCGACTCGGCCCTTATGCAAATGGGCCCGTCTCTGAGTAGAAACCGCATCCATATGAACCATCCGTCTGTCCGTCAGACCTCCCACCGCACATTTTCTCTTGAGGCGAGCACGTGTGGTTTCGCTGCATTTGCATCACATTCCCTCGAAGCAAAACTTTTATAATTAGTTTAATCATTAGCAGCATAACATTACGTCTGCAATTACATTTTATAACTTTAAAATTTAAAAAAAAATTATCTTACATCTTAATTGCTACTTTTAAATGTTAAGTATTAAAATATATATATAATTTTTATTTAAAATAACAATATTATTTGTTAATTTTACATAAACATTTAAATATAATTTATAACAATGTTTATTAACATAAAATTTTTTTAAACTACGTTTGTATTAAATTATGTATATAAATATAAATGCTGCACAATCATAATTATATAATATTCACGTTTAATTAAGAACAATTAAGTAGCAGCTTGTGTAGACGCTTTTACAGCCAAGTAAATATACATTACAATTTATCTATATTATCCCACATCAAAATTTAATAAATTTATTCTTAATTAGTAGCTAGACTATTTCATCCCTACGTGGACAAATTTATCTTATTTATTTATCAATGAAAAATTTCCGTTTATTTTCCCTCATTTCAATGCTTAGTACTGCCTGTATTGGTCATTGTAAATAAATTATATGATTTGAAGAAAGGAGTAAGTTGAATATTATAAAAACCAACTTCAATTTAAATGCACTAATTAATGTACAAATGCCAATATTGACACCTGTTGTATATTATTATAAGTTGTAATATTAATTACGACGATAGCAGCAAAAATATTCTGCTATAGATTATTATTATTTATTCTTCTCTGTCAGTACAAAGATCGTTGCTTGTAATTAAGTTCGACCAGTAGGTGCACAAACTTAATTAACGGACACACCGTACCGTACGTTTGTGAAATCGAACAACACCAATTCATTGTTGATGCAAACATAATGCAATTCAGCAAACAAGCCTCATCATCCTCACGGCTGCTATTTACCGGAGGAGTAAATTTGATTCACCAGCAGGCAACCTGTTTGACGCGCCGACTGCGCTGGTTGCATAAATTCGTTTGGTTTCACAAACCATGCCGACTGTTCCGTTTCTATAATAACTGTAATGGTGAAGGCTGCGAACATTACGCTCGAAACACACATCACTCCAATTCACGGACGGCGAATGCAAATGTAGTAATTTAATTTCCATTTATTGCAGCTTTCAAATGACGCCCTTTTCATGCCCGCGTCTACTCTGCGAGTTAAATATATCCTTTTTTCGTGTAATAAATTATTAACCGGTCCGTGGCAAGCGGACTAGCTCGTGTAATTTGCATGCTGATGCTGAATCACTGCAACTATTTTCTTTCCATGTATATTATTCACTACGCAATTACGCATTGAGAATGTTGCTTTTACGATAGATTTATTGCAAAGGCTAGTAATTTTCCACAGGTGCGCCGAACAGTTGATGCTGGGGACATCTCTGGCACGAAGGGTGCAAACTAGTGGTCTAAGGGTTCAGGGGCGCCGGCGCCATCGATCAAAAAGTATATTAAATTCTTTAAAATTTGTAACATTGCATCTTTCCTGCTTTCAATCTGTGGCGCTAAAACAATTCAGTAATTCAAGGTACGTTTTAGAGACCAAAAAACTTGGTAATTGTTGTTTTCTTTCAATATTTTACGTCATTAGATTTGTTGTGGTTTTTTTCTATAATTAAGTACTTGTTAAATATAATTTTCCAATTTAAATAATTAATACATTCCAAAATTACCAAAATCACTTCAATAAATTATTATTTAATAATACATAATTTTATTAAATACTTTTGTTTGAAACGATATAGTATAATGAATCGTAAAGCAACAATAAAGTTTTTTGTTACATAATTTAGAAAATTAAGAATGAAATAATTAAAATTATTTTTGAACTACAATACGTAAGTGATTAAAATTATGCGTGTAAAATATGTTTATATTTTATAATTATGTAAATATTTTAAGTGTAAAATATTTTTGTTTTTAAATTTAATGTTAAAATGTAAAAACTATTGATCTTTTGTGAATAAATTTTTCAAACTAAATAATTAATTAAAAAATTTTAATAAACATTTCAATAAATATAATTTAAAATTATGATAATCTAAATTAAAAAAAAAAATAGAGTAAAACAATGTTAGTTTATGCTCTCATTTTATTTTCATCCTAAAACAATTTTATAGAAAGAAAATGTTTAAATTCAAGATGATTGCCAGCTAAAATTGTATTTAGAAAAAGCGCCCCTGCCGCCGCTGACTGCAACCAAACGTAAACCGGCGAACGGGTTCATCTCGCGGCCACCCCGGCGCTGGCATTGTTGTGCTGGAGGTGGCTCGCTCTGGCGGCTCGTCGGCACGCACCCCTATCGATCAGAGGGTGTTTGCAGCAGTGGCAGGTCTGAGGACTCGCCATTGCTGAGTGGATGTGGTGCCGGTCGGTGAGAATGACTCTGGGTGCTCCTAGCCGCCTCCAGCCCAGTTCTTCGACCTGAGTGCCAGCGGCCCTTCGCAGCAGGTGCACCGCCTCCGCCCTGTAAGTATCCGTCCGAGGGGTTCACTGGGCCCGACCGCGCCCAATCCGGGCTGAAATCCGGCCCGAGGTTGTTTGGGCCCGCGAGCCTCTCCGCACCTGACCCGACGTACGGGGTTTTCCGCGGCCGAGCTTCCTCCGAGCTCTGCTTTTACGACGTG